AAAAGGGTTGTATGTCATAGTATGTTAATAAGCGTTGAACCACTGAGCAGATTTTATGGCGTACTGCACCTTTTTTTAGTTGCCTGGAGAATCACCATTTAATCGAATCATCACCGAATCGCCATTTACGCAAGTAACGACTCCACAATATCTGTGCTTCTGTAGTTCTAGATGTATCCCGCATTATGTTGTTGGCTAGAACAATACCCTGTTCATCAGCAGGGAAATTTCAAAAGCAGGTACTGCATATGTGTTTTCGCAGAAAACAGCGAATACAGAGTTACATGTCCTTAAAAGAATTCCAGTATCTGTAATGCCAAGAGACTAACTGATATATGAGATGTATCCTGCAATCAATGTGCTCATATAACACAGAACCACGGCCTGCCTAATTGACCACCTTACATAACCTGAAGCAAAGGGGTATATTACGCTCAGAAACTTAGATTCGAAGGAATTTAGCATAATACTGTGACATATACACAACTCAAATGCTATATAGAAAGTTTTCGAAATCTGCACATTCACCATGAAGTATTCGTCAACATATTTCTGACAAAAAACTTGAAGTGTCTCTCGCCTAGCGGTTTCATACTTTTCAAGACCGAAATTTTAATGCATCTTCATCGCTTCAACTATACATCTGCATCTAGTCTAAATCCCAAAACTAGCTGAAACCTATATCAAAAACTAAGTTTCTGTGAGAGGGTATAGAACTAACAACCACAAGTAATGCCCACCAGACCCTAATATATCAGAGAGAACAAATAATGCCTTCCAATAAACCTTTGGTCACGTAGACTACGTTACAGTAGGCATAATATTTCCTGCCCACAACAAGTACCTCGAATTTGAAAATGCGAAAAAGAAAAAATGACAGCGGACTCGTCGTCGTTAACAGCGGACTCGTCAAATTCATTTATCACCAGAAATTCTTTAACTGTTGACAGGTCGTTATCTTTATGACGATTACATGTGAACCTTAACTATCTTTATATAAGCGATCATCATAACGAAAAAATGACGAGCATCAGTGCACACCCTGGTGAACAAACTGGTAATGGCTGACAGAAAGATCTGTCATTCTACTACTGTATATCGTATTTCCATGCTTTGGCATTGTAACTCTTTTCCTTTTGCTGCTATACAGTACTTTTCAAACTATGAGAAGCGTTGTTTCTTTATCTGCCTGTGCAGGAGCTTTATGTAGCAAACATGACCTCTGAATAAAAGCAAACGACAGAAACTGAACATGCACTGTTCCTACAGGGCAAATTTAGATGGCTGAACTCGAGCCGCTATGAAATCAGGTGAATTAATCGTATCTCGTATGACATTGAATAATCAAAACTGGATATAAAGTTGATAAACAACAGAACAGAATTCTTACCACCGGGCCTCAGGAACTTTTTTGCATGCAAAAACGTCTCTAGCATACGTTCGTTTACAAGCATGTAACCCATTGGCTCTGATATGATGACATCGACCAATTCAGGAAGACAGATCTCTTCTATTTTACCGGAAATGACCACTATACGACTAGAGCAACCGTTGCTTTTCACCAGTGTCTAAAATCATTGATAACCAGAAAGTAGCGCGCGTAAATACGCATCACAAATCATAGATAAATCAGTACAGGGCAGTCATATATTACATTGGTTCTGACAAAGAACTATACAGCAGCTGACAAAAAACCTTAAAACAATCTTTCGAAGGCAAAAAATAAATTATCAGCAGCTTAATCATCTGAAACCACACTGTCTATACGTGTGACAATTCAGGCAGAAGACAAGAAAAGTAACAGCCATAGCAATGCCAAAACAACGTCGGTGCTCTGCACCACCGAACAGATACACGTAACTGAAAAGAAGCCGTTCCGCCAAACAGAATATGTCCTGGAACAAGAGCGCAGTTGAAGGCTTCCATTATGGGTAAGAAAACAGAGTTTAAACCTGACTCAACTGACCCGGATTTCGGACGACTGAACTACCCCCTTTCTAGCTTGCTGATAAAAAAGACACATTCGAAAACTGAGGACGATTAGAGTATACAAACAAAAACAGTATGGTGGTGCCAGGCGTCTTGTTCCTAATATATAATCGATGCACTGCGTGCGCTACGTTAATCAGTCTAAGATTACTACAAGCTGTTGACATTTAATAAATGACATGCGGTGCTGTGGAACGTGTTGAACACGATCAACGGAAACGGCCACGACACGTCGGTATACCGGATTCGAATGCAGATGCAAAGAAATGTACAGCAGCTGGTAGTCATCAAGACAATTATTCAATCATTTTCCATGACACTTCTTCTTCCGGGTCGAGGAGATCATTGGGGCTATGAAAACTATTCGAACTATTTCGACTGTTTACTCTAAAACATTTCTGATGAATGCATTCTTTTCACAAAGAAAAAATTTTCATCTTCCTCTTCCATGACCGCTTTTCTTCTCGGGTTACGCAAGCAGATGCGCCAGACTGTGCTTTGAAAGTTCTCGATCTTGCGTCAGCGTCTGAGCTTCGGCAGAAAACAACCCGAGAAGACACCATCAATACACCCGCATCAGGCCAATCTTGACCGTCCCTTAGGTCTTCTACTGGTCGGCTGGGTTAGCAGCAGTTGCTTCGCCTTCCTTTCTGGAAGCATTCGCAACACATGTCATTAAGATAGTTTTTCGCAATTTTCTAGCATCAAGAGTGCACAAATCACGCAAAACATCGAATCACCTCACAATGTTGCGACATACTACTTGCTTCGACGGCATAAACTCGTTTCGCGCCGCCCTGCACGGCGAAAAAGGACAGTATTCCGGAACCGGCTCCAACGTCTAGGACTACCTGCAAGAAGTGCGGTTACGAGGAGAACAACAGCGACAGCTAACAGCAAACACCTTATCTTGAAAGTCGCTCGGGTTGCATAAGACCGCCTTCTGGTAAGTGGCAGTTCGGATATAATCCTGCATCATGTTTTGTTGCTGAGACAAGTAGGCGTAGAACTAAATGTATCATGTTACAAATAATTAAACTTCGGGCGAAATTTCAAAAGATTTATAA